CTTGCTACTTCATAACTGTGATTTTGTTATTGTTATGAACTGAGTGGAAATATCCGTGTTTTCTGGTAGTCTTGGGTGACCCCTGTGAAAGGTTCATTAGATCTCCAAAGGTATCTCAACCCACTGGTTGAGAACTGCTAAGCTAGAATAACAGAATTTATAGAATGAATCTCTTTAAAATATACACAGAGAGGGGAAAATTATTTATTTATTTTGCCCCCCTTTTTTTTCCAGACAGGGTTTCTCTGCATAGCCCTGGCTGTCCTGGAACTCACTGTGTTGATCAGGCTGGCCTCCAACTCCCTGCCTCCACCCCATGGCTTAAGGCCATGCCACCACCACTACCATCAGGCTGAGAAAGGAAATTTATGAGAGTGGCTTATAGGCTGTAGTCTAGCTAATCAAACAAGGGCCAGCTGTGAATGAAAGTCACAAATTCAATAGTTGTTCAGTCCTTGAGGCTGGGTGTCTCTGCTGGTCTTCCGTATACAATGGAATCCCCAAGAAGTAGGCTCTAATGCTAGTGAAGGAATGGATTTGTTAGCAAGGCAAAAGCAAGCAGGTAAAGAGCAAAACCTTCCTTCTTCCATGTCCTTATATAGGCTTCCAGAAGAAGTGGTCCAGATTAAAGGTGGATCTTTCCAGTTCAAAGACTCAGATTAGAAGTAGAACTTGTCACTTCAAATGATTAAGCAAAACTCCATTACAGTTGTGCCCTGCCATTTGGGGTGTGTGTGTGTTACTTAATTCCAGATGTGGTCAAGTTGACAGCCGGGAACAGCCACTGCAGAGTCTTTTGCTAGAGGGTTTGAGATTTAAAAACACTACCCATTCTGTAGTGAGGAGGCCTGTGAGACTGCCTCAGCGAGGTGGTTAGGAGCTTCAGGATGGGCTGTGGCGGCGTCGCTCACAGTGCTGTGGGCAGGCAGGCATGCTGGAATGGCAAAGTACAGAGAACACCCAGAGTTCCAAAGTGGGCTTAGGTCGTCGAGAGCAGTGGTTCTCAACCTGTTGATCATGACCCCTTTGGGGCCAGATGATCTTTTCACATGGGTCGCATATCAGATATCCTGCATATCAGATATTCACATTACAATCCATAACAACAGCAAAACTACAGTTTTAGGAAGTAGCAACAAAAAGAATGTTATGGTTGGGGGTCACCACAGCATGAGGAGCTGTATTCAAGGGTTGGCTGTGTGAAGCTGTAGGAACATTGAGAAACGCTGACACAGGACAGAGATGTACTTTTTCCTCTTGGTATCAGGTAGGTGCTCTATGAGGCTACTCCCCTAAACTCTTTGAAACAGAATCACCTAAAGGCTATGCTTACAAATTCTGCATGCTCTGCCCCCCACAGATGTACCTGAAAGAAAGAGTGTCATTGTAGGAAAGAGAGAAGCTTCCAATAAGCCCCACGGGAGCGAGGGAGCTGCAAGTGCATAGCCCAAAGCCTTTCTAGATCAGGACGCCTGTGGATAGTGCATTAATGTTCACAGAGGCTTAGTCTCTGCCATCAGAAGGCATCCATCCTCCTCAGTCTTAACAGTATAAAACTGCCGTGGGTATTGGAAAAACCTCCCGCTGCATACAATCTGCCTTTTCCTCATTCATGATGCTAAGGGGAATGTGAAAAAGAGGGAGTGCAAAAAAGAAGTAGAGAGTTCAATGACATATTCATGTGACTCTTATGTTCCCTTCTTTAATGTGACAATTATGATGAAGTTTCTATAAAATTCACTGTGTTATTGTACCCCTGTTGAGGTACATGATTCAGCGACATTAAGTGCATTCACAGTTCTCTATAAGTAATGCTACAATCCTTATCCAGAAATTTCCTTCATCTCAAAAACAAACTCTGCCCTCATTAAACAATAATGCCCCACTCCAACACCCTAGCCCTTGCTAACCTTTACTCTACTCTCTGTATTACGTTCTGACTGTCGTAAGTGCCTGTGTAAGTAAAATCATGGTTGTCCTCTGCCCTGCTTGCTTCCCTTACTATGTTTTCACAGCTCCTCCGTGTGGCAGCGAGCACCAGAATGCTATTCCCTTTAACAACTGAATACCCTGTGGTCTTCCTCCCTCCCTCCCTCCCTCCCTCCCTCCCTCCCTCCCTTCCTTCCTTCCTTTTTTCCTTTCTTCCTTCCTTCCCCCTTCCTTCCTTCCTTTCTTCCTTCCTTCCCCCTTCCTTCCTTCTTTTCTTCCTTCCTTCCTTCCTTTTTCCTTTCTTCCTTCCTTCCCCCTTCCTTCCTTCCTTCCTTCCTTCCTTCCTTCCTTCCTTCCTCCCCTTCCTTCCTCCTTCCTTCCTCCCTCCCTCTCTTCCTTCCTTCCTTCCTTTTTTCCTTCCTTCCTTCCTTCCTTCCTTCCTCCCTCCCTCCCTTCCTTCCTTTTTTCCTTCCTTCCTTCCTTCCTTTTTTCCTTTCTTCCTTCCTTCTCCTTCCTTCCTTCCTTCCTTCCTTCCTTCCCCCTTCCTTCCTCCTTCCTTCCTTCCTTCCTTCCTTCCTTCCTTCCTTCCTTCTTTCCTTCTTCTATTTTTATTTTTTGGACAGGTCTTCTCTGCGTATCTCTGGCTGCCTGGAACTAGCTTTGTAGACAGGCTGGTCTCAGAGGCCCACCTGCCTCTGCCTCCTAGGTTTGAAGGTGTGCACTGCCATGCCCGGCCTGTGTGCATGTGTCTTCTCCCGTTAACCTGCTGTATCAGGACTGTTTCTGCCTAGAGTCTTGTGGCTAGCGCTGCTGCGAACGTCGACGGAGTGTCTGTTGGAGTCTCTGCTTTAACTCTTTGGCAAACACATCCAGAAGCATAATACTTGCTCGCGTAGATTCTAAATAAACAAATGAAACAGAGAGAAAGCATGCACGCACCTAAAGGTTTTTGTGTTTAGAGCTGCTCCTACTAGGCTGAGGAGGTCACTGAAGGAGGCTGAAAAGTGATCTTAACTTCCTTTAATTTTGTTGTGGTTGTTGTATTTATGCATATTCACACATGTGTGGAGGTCAGGGAACAAATTTGTGCATTTGGTCCTCCTTTTTTCCCCACCATAATGTGGATTTCAGGGGTTGAACTCAAATCACCAAGCTTGCTCAGTAAGTGTATTTACAACCGGATCCCAAATCTCTGAAAAATAGCTGCAGATTTACTGCCTTGTGGTGTTGGGAAATTCCATTTCGGTGAGCGCCGGTTATTTGGAACAGTCCCTGAACGAATGAAAACTGGAATCTAGGACGTGTAGTCTCCCCCGGGTTGCCAACAAAAAGGTTTTGAGTTTCTTCCTCTTCATAGCTACAGTATTCCCCCTTTAACTGATTGCTTACACTGCCCTCATGTGTCTGTATGTTTTCATTATGAACACTCCAAGAAAGTCTTACTATTAGAATCATGTAACAGGTGTTTGGTTTTTAAATGTCATTTAAAAAATGAACACAGCCTTCTTGCTGGATTTTATCCTAATCACATTTTAAAGAACAAAATTTTGACAGTGATCCAAATCCCACAGATTAATGAAAAGCCACACCCCTGTCTAATGTGCACAGGCACGTGTCTAGCCTGGGAGAAGCTGGCCCACACAAGCTGTACAGTTGAGCTCACCCTCAGATAACGCTTCTCTGAATGTGATCACTCTCTTTCTGCCACCAGGCAATGTCAGATGAGCTTTCCTGTTTGGGGGATTTACATAAATTGAACCCCTGCTCTGTCCATTCCATACTAGCTTCCCTACCTCTTGATGAGGAAAGTATTTTTACTTGCTTCCACCTTTGCTTCTTCCTGTTGGGTAAACATAAGGAATGGGATTGTGTGTGTGTGTGTGTGTGTGTGTGTGTGTGTGGTATTTGTTTTTGAGACAGCGTTTCTCTGTGTAGCTCTGGCTGTCCTGGAATTTGCTCTGTAGACCAGGCTGGCCTTAAACTCACAGAGATCCGCCCACCTCTGCCTCCCGAGTGCTGGGATTAAAGATGTGTGTCCACCACTGCAAGGCTGCTTCATTCTTCATTCTACATTTTTAAGATGTAGATGTCACTAGTTTTTCTACAGTCGGCTTTTCAAATTAGATGACCGCTACCTGCAAGAATTCCCTTGTCCAGCCAGCCAAGCATGGTGGTGTACTTTAACCCCAGCACTCAGGAGGCAGAGGCAGGTGGATCTCTCTGAATTCAAGGCCAGCCTGGTCTAAAAAGCTGCACAGAGAAACCCTAGCCGTGAAAGGGCTTGTCTGTCATACGTTCACATTTTGGCTAGTCCAGCAGGGTGAAATGTGATCTCCTGGTGGTTTGAGTTTGCATTTCTGCTGCTGCTGTGCACCTGGACAGAGGAACAGTCTCTGTCTGAAGTTACATCCTTTTTAAAGATTTTTTTTTTTAATTTTATGTGTATGGGTGTTTTGACTGGGTGTCTGTGCACCACATGCGTGCAGTGCTGGAGGAAGCCAGAAGAGCACAGAGCCCCTGGAACTGGAGTTACGGGCACTGGAACCCACCTGCTCCTCTGTAAGAACAGCAAGTGAAGAGCACTTCAGTATCTCTGAATACATACAGTATTCTCTGAGCACATACAATATCTCTGGATACCCTCTAGCAAAGAGTTTCTCTAGAGGCTAACCACCAAGAAGGAGGTCGTTAGGACTGGGAATGACCACCGAATAACCCTAATCAAAAGTGTGTCTACCGGCCTGCTTTCTCACCAGAGTACAGAGGGGTCAAGTCCAACAGCTGCTATTGTCGGGATCTAATTTTTGCCAATAGAATACATTCGACTCGTTTATTTTATTATTATTTTTTGTGGTTTTTGTTTGTTTGTTTTGTTTTTTTGTTTCTCTGTGTAGCCTTGGCTGTCCTGGACTCGTTTTGTACACCAGACTGGCCTCGAACTCACAGCGATCTGCCTGCCTTTGCCTCCCCGAGTGGGGTGAAAGGTGTGCGCCACCATGCCCCTGGGTTTGATTCTCTTGAATTTTGTGTGACATAAGAGCCCAGAAGCCGGCAGAACTGGACAGGGTGGTATGTCTCCGAGGACTCTTCAAGAAATCACAACGTCGACCAACACAGACCTTTCTCTTTGTTCATATGGCGAGGGTCAGGGGTCCAAGTTTATTCGGAAAGCTAAAGAGACACCGTTTGTCCCCATTGGAATGGTAGGATTTGCAGCAATTATTGCGTTTGAGTTATACAAACTGAAGAGCAGGGGAAGTACGAAGAAGTCCATTCACTTGATCCACGTGCGCCTGGCTGCCCTGGGCTTTGTTGTGGGGACCATGACTCTCCGTATGGCCTATTCCATGTATCAAAAATTCTGGGCCAAGAGCAGGCCTTAGAAGAAGAGCTGCTGCTGCCTTGGTCGGGGTAGACGTCTCATATTGAGGTTCCATGCTTGTGTCTATAATAAATAATGTGTGGGTTAAGGGGGGGAAAAAGCCAAATTCGTTCACTTCCCCGCAACGGAGGGTTTCACCACCATCTACATCCGCTGGCTTTGCAGTACAAGTCTACCTTAGGAGTTCCTATAAACCAGTCCTATGCCCATTTATCATCAATGTCACTAACTCGCTCATATTTTTAGATGTCACCTGAACGCTCTGAAGCTTTCCGTGTTCGCTACACATTTTCATCCTTATGTATGAAAACATCCCGTTAAGCTTACTCGGGCCGTGTATACACAAGAAAACAACCGACTCAGGACCAACTTTTCTAGAAGCGGCTCGCAGGCCACTACGCATGCGCGCGTCCCGCCCCCACCTCGGGGCAACACGCAGGCGCTTCCGGTCTGCAGCCGCAAGGGAAGTGCGCCTGCGCGGAGCGACGCCCCGCCCTGCCCCTCGCACGCTATAAAAGCTCGTGCCTTTTCCTCGCGAGAGACTGCTAGCTGATGCTCGCTGCAGGGGTCGGAGGTCAGGGCGAGCGTCTGCCGGGCCGAAGGAGGAAGATGGCGGTGGAGTCGCGCGTTACCCAGGAGGAAATCAAGAAGGAGCCGGAGAAGCCGATCGACCGCGAGAAGGTGCGGGCCGCGGGCCGCTGCGGGGCGGAGGCGGCGGGCGGGGAAGAGGCGGGCGCGGCCTGCGGGCGGGAGGGCGGGAAGGCCAGTGGCGCGGCCGGGGCTGACTCCCCGCCTCTCCGCAGACCTGCCCGCTCCTGCTGCGGGTCTTCACCACCAACAACGGCCGCCACCACCGCATGGACGAGTTCTCCCGCGGGAACGTGCCCTCGAGCGAGCTGCAGATCTACACCTGGTGAGCCTCGCGGGACCGGGCCTTGCGCCCTCAGGGACAGGGCTTTGCCCGCCTTGAAACGCCCTTAGGAGCGGCGAGGAAACGTTAGGTTAGAGTGAACCGAGCGCCGTTGCCCTCACCGTGTGGCTGCCTGGCACAAAAACTCACGTAGAGAGTTTAAAACGAGGTGGTAAGATGGTAGGGAATCGGGAGCTGGCAGTTGCGTAGACGTGTTCTCAGAGCATTGGCAGAATGAAGCCTAAGGTTGTATCGTGGCACCGAAAATTGAAAAGCGCCACCAAACCCGAGTTCTGTCTGCTCTAGCAGCGGTGTAAACGCGCCTGGTGTTTGTTCAGTGAAGAAGGCTGTCCCAAGTGTTTTATTTCTGCACACCTGCCCTGCTGTCCACTCAGCGAGGACCACACAAGCCTCTCCTTCGTGTTGGTTAACACTGGCTTTTGAAAAACGGTGAAGGCCAATTTTAATATATTTCTGTTGTGGTAAGATATAATGCAAATTTTGCCACTTTAACTTTTGGAGGTTGTGCAACATCTACTTTTTCGGTTTTTCTTTTTTAAATAACAGTTTTATGAGCATTGGTGTGAGAGTCTCCGATCCCTTGGAACTGGAGTTATAGACAGCTTGTGAGCTGTCATGTGGGTGCTGGGAATCGAACCTTTCTCCACTGGAAGAGCAGACACTGCGCTTAACCACTGAGCCATCTCTCCAGTCCTTTTCGGTTTTGGGGGACAGGGTTTCCCCCGTATAACAGAGGTCTGGATATCCCAGACTCGATTTGTAGACCAGGCTGCCCTCAAACTCACAGAGATCCACCTGCCTCTGCCTCCCCAGTGCTGGGATTACAGGCATGTTCCACCTCACCTGGCAAAACTAACCTTTTCACACTTGACCATTAGGAGCTCTGCACCTGGTAAGCACACAGTAATTTCTTACTGCAGGCGGATCTCTGAGTTCGAAGCCAGCCTGCTGTAAAAGGTGAGGTCCAAACAAAAAAGAAACCTACCCAAAACAAAAGATAGTGATTGAACTTTTAGGGGAGAACTATTCAATAGTGGATTAATGTAAGCCATTTTTCAAATATTAAAATTCCATTTTCCCAACAAATAAGAGTTCCAGTTTGCAGGCTTTCCTTATGTAAAGTTTTGCCATTCTATACAGTGAGCTCAGCTTTTTATACAGGGTTATCTGTCTGTCTCTGTAGAGATTGCTCCAGAACCACGGGGAGATCAAAATCTTGGAATGCTCCAGTTTCTTATTTTAAAAATGACGTAGTGTTTACTCAGAACCTTTGCACATCCTTTATGATGTGCTCTTAGGACTTTTGGCTGATAAATTAAGGCCCAGCCAAAGTGTAAAAGCTTGTTTAATTAAAAAAAAAAAAATTGCCTCAAAAACATAAGAAAATCAGAGTTATTTCACCTCAGAGTTTATGCCATCATTGAAGTTCACTGGGGACAGAATCTAAATTTTCAGACTTAATTTCAGACTAGAATATCAGTTTTGCTGAAGTAAAATCCAGCTGCAAAATTACATAACAGTGTCCTTTTATCTGAAGTTTTACAACTCATTTGACTACACACGGAACTCCAGTTCTGAGAAAATAAGATTTTACTTGAAATGTACATAGCATGAAGTAAATATGTTTATGTCATAGTTTTAGTGTGATAGCTTTCAGTGTTAATTATTTTTATGTATATGGGTGTTTTGCCTGCATGTATATGTGTGCACTACATGAATGGTGCCCACTGAGGTCTGGAGTGGGTATCGGATCCCTGGGACTAGAGTTTTGAACCACCATGTAGGTGCTGGGAATTGAACCCAGGTCCTCTGCAAGAGCAACAAGTGCTCTTAGGTGCTGAGCCAGCTCTCTAGCACCTCTCCACTCACTGTATTTTTTTAAAAAGCTTTTTAGGAGAGCTGTAGAGAGCTGAGTGCTAAATAGTGCTCACAGGCTCCAAAAATTCAGTTCTTGGCATTTACCCATGTTTGGGAGCTCAACAGCCTGTAACTCCAGCTATATGGTGAGCCAACAGACTTGTCTGGCCTCCATAGATAGACATGGTGCACACAATATATATGCAAGTAGAACACTCATAAACTTTTTTTCCTCCAAAAACCCTCTTTAATGTTGTATTGTGTACATATGCAGAGATTCCCACAGTTATGTTAATAGCACTGATTTTTTATTTTTTTTATTTTATTTTTTGGATTGGTAAGAATTGGTCTATAATTCGTTGCATTCAAGGAAAGTATTGGGTTTGCAGACTTCCTGCATGGCTGCATAAAATGGTTTTTGGTCTGGAACATGCCCATGGCAAAAGAGAGACCACCTTCTAACCTGTTTCTAGAAATACCTTCCTTGTTGTGGGCTTGTGTACTTCTTTGTTCTGCTTCAGTGTGTCCCCACTGCTCTCATTGCTGGGGAGTCAGGCCTGTAGTGAGGGAGGGTGCCAGCTGACTCTCGGAGGTTGTCTGACTTGTATCTTGGTGAGCAAAGTATTTGTGCTAATACAAGTAAGTAATGTCCTTGGTGACTCTGATAGGGAGGGTCACAGGTGGGACGTGTCAGGCATTGGCATGCTGTGCTGTGCATGCAGTGAGACCCTCCCCAAGAAGTGATGACAGGTGGCACTCCACAGTAGTTTATACATTGGACCTGAGGGAGTAGCTCAGTGATAGTTTGCTTGTCTATATGCATGAAGACCTGGTCAGAAAACCACAAAAACAAAACCTCAACGTAGCTAAATATGGAGGAAAATAAAATTTTATCTGTTTAAGAGCAGGAAATAACAAGAATGTTTAATGAGATGATGAGGGGAGGACTTGGAAAAGTTTAATTAGGGTGATTACTTGGACAGCTAAATGGGTGGTTTTTTTTTTTTTGTTTTAAAATCTTTTGTATTGGACTAGCAGAAGAAAGGCATGTTCTGGAAGACTGAGTTCTATTGCAGGAATATCGAGAAATATTTGGAATAGAAAATGGAGGACAATGTCATCCTGTGTATTTTTCATTTCCTGTACTTAAGTATAGTGGTGTGGAGATTTGTAAAGTTCACAGTGAAATGCAGAGGGCTCTTGGTTCTCTCCTCGATTCTATTACATCATTGTTCTTACTCTGAAGTGTCTGTCTAGGGTTCTGCCATTTTTTCAGCACTTAACACAAAATGCTGCTGTAAGTTTAGATTTTGCATTTCACCTCTCTCCTTGTCATGGTCAAAACAATATAAATGTAAACTAGGTTGTTAAATATTGCTAAGATGTTCACATTTTGTGCTGTGTTAGCACAAGGGACTATTTAATTCTGAGTTTAGATAAGTATTTTTAAGTTAATAATGGTTTATGTTGTAAAATGTGCCTGTAGTTTGTCTTAAAATTTCATGCCCATGGCTTTAAGATTCATTATTTTAAAATAATTTTTTTCATTATTTTATGTTGTTTGCACTGTGCAAGTGCAGCAGCTCTTGTAGAGGTCAGAGGACAAGTTTTGGAGTATTTCCACATTATTTTGAGAGTTCTGGGGATTGGACTCAGGACAGCAGGTGTGTGGCAAGTGTCTTTACATACTGAGCCATCTCACTGGCAAGCTTTTATTACAGTCTTATTTTGTGTGTGTATATGTGGCATTTGGGAGTGTCATGGTACATGTGTGGGTTCCAAGGATAAAACTGAGGTCATCAGGCTGGCAGCAAGCACTTTTACCTGCGAAGCCATCATGCCTGCCTCTGTCATTAAGATTCTATGAGAGAACAAGAACTTGCATATCCTTATGAAGATGCTGTCCTCACACATTGATTTTAGGATGTGTTCCGAGTTTAGATGCTGTAATGTATGGGAGATTGTGTATCTTAGAGATTAGACACTTATTTTGGATAGCTGAATAATTCGGACTGATTACTTGCAGATAAAAGAGATCAGTGAGCCAGATGATGTTAGTATGGAGCCTCAGAAGAGGGTATGTGGGAATCTCCTTAAGCCCTTGTAGCAGGATTCTTTAAGTTATTGATGTTTTTAGCATTGAGGCCAACACAGGACATATTCAGAAGCAAATAGGTTTGTTTTGTTTTGTTCCTTATTAGTTGTGTGTGTGTGTGTGTGCACATTCCATGAAATGCTTGTGGATGTCAAAAGACGTGGGTTTGGACTCTCCTTTTTGACTTTCATTTGGGTTGACACAGGTTGCCAGGATTGTGTAGCAAATTGTCTTTTTCTTACCAGGCTTTTTTGCCAGCCCACAAATCATATAGTGAGACCCTGGAAATACTCAAGGATGTACAATTGCTGTTTTTTAATGTCCTTGTTATAATGATGTTTATTGATCATTATCTTTTCAAAAAATCCAGGATGGATGCAACCTTGAAGGAACTGACCAGCTTAGTAAAGGAAGTCTACCCAGAAGCCAGAAAGAAAGGCACACACTTCAATTTTGCAATTGTTTTTATGGATCTTAAAAGGCCTGGATATCGGTAGGTGACTTGTTACTTTAATTCCTGTAATCAATGGATTTTGCAGTCGCCTCCCCCCCCTTCTTCCCTCTTTCTCTCTTTGACAAGATGCAGCTGTCAGTCTGTCTCAGGCTTCAGTGTTGGAATTACAGGCATGTCTGGCTTTAGGATAATCTCTTCAGTGGCAGTGGTGTTGTCTACAGGCGTATATTCAGATCTCAGCCTAGTTTGAATATAGTGCTTAAATTCTGGACTTTTGTCATGTGGAGATCATTTCATGTTCACTGTAGTCTGTACTGTTCTGTACTGATGCATTTCGAGTCCATTAACAGTTGCTTTGCTTTTCCTGCAGAGTTAAGGAGATTGGCAGCACCATGTCTGGCAGGAAGGGCACCGATGACTCCATGACCCTGCAGTCACAGAAGTTCCAAATAGGAGATTATCTGGACATAGCCATCACTCCTCCAAATCGGGCACCGCCTTCGTCAGGGCGCATGAGACCGTACTGAATTCTATTGACTCTCTTGAAGTTATTTTTCAGCCAGTTTGTAAAATAAACTTACTTAATCTTTCCTCCCCTGGACTTTGCCATTAAGCCTTTAAATTTTCAACGAATTGTAACACATTTATTTAGGAATTAGAGTTGGATGTGCTTTGGTATATTACAGAAAGTCCGTATGTTTTAAGCCCTTCTGTAAAATACGAAGAAAAGTGCTCTTAGCATTCTGTATAAACTGTTTTGTGAAATACATGTGTGCAATCAGTCCAGGTGTGAACATTAATGCAGCATGAGTCTCACCTTCTTTAGTGTTTTTCCTAAGCAGTAGAGAGAGCATTTTAAGCCCTAAAGAGGCAGAAGAAGCAAGCCATGGAGTTGTATAAAACAATGAATTATAAGCCTGGTGTGGTGGTGTGTGCCTTTAATCCCAGCACTTGGAGGCAGAGGCAGTTGGATCTCTTTGAGTTCGAAGTCAGCCTGGTCTACAAACCGAGTCCAGGACAGCTAAGGCTACACAGAGAAACCCTGTCTTGACAAAACCAAACAACCCCCCCCCCCACACACACACACACATACACCACACCACCACCACACATAGACAAACTAAGTAGTTCTGGACTTGTCCTCTCTGTTCCTAGCTTATGTGGGACAGCTTAGCTGAACCAGATACTGTGGAGAGCACACTGCTAAGTTCTCAAAACCTGCACAAGTGAGGTGCAGCGACTGATTGCACTGGCAAGGAAGGCTGCGGATGCTCAGCTCACAGCAGGCATTACTGACCCTGCTCTGTTGAAGTCCTGCACGGTACAAACCAGACTAAAAATACATGGCGACAGACTCCACCCGAAGGCAACAAGTACTCTCTAGCCCCTGTTTTTGAGAGTCTTCGCTATGTAGGCTAGGCTGGCCTAAGATTCAGAGATCTGACTTGCCTTCTGCTTTCTATTCTGGGATTAGAGATATATGGGACCAAACCTAGACCAAAGAACGTTTTTAGTATTAAACACTTAAAAACTCTTAATAAACAAAAATCCTTAGCCTGAGAATGTTACATAGTCATTACCCTGGGAAAGTGCTGTGGTGATAATGCATAGCCTTTTTTTCCAAGACGGTTTCTGTGTAGCCCCAGCTGTCCAGAACTCTGTAGACCAGGCTGGCCTCAAATTTAGAGATCTGCCTGCCTCTGCCTTCTGAGTGCTGGGATTAAAGGAGTGCACCACCCCTGCCCATCATACATAGCCTTTAAATTGTGGTAGTCAGTGAAATGGAGAACTTGGTGCAGAGTGAGTTCTCAGCATCAGTTGTTTCCAAAGATTGCCAGCCCCTCTAATCTGCACCATAGGTTGTTCAGATGTCCTAACCCTATTCAGATGCTTTAGCCATATCCAAGGAAACTTCATATACGGTAACTTAAGACAGGGTCACTATGCAGTCCTTGAACTCCTGACCATCCTGCTATTGGCCTTATAGGTCTGGTTGTACCCAACTAAAACAATTAAATGTGGATGAGATGAACTTTCAGAGAAATTTTCTGAATTTGAGGAAATTACTGTTACAGTAATCAAACTGGCAGAAAACTTGCAGTGTTCCTAATTCATCTCAAAGTTTACAGCAGTGACTACAGTGCCAAGGACTTAATACAAAGACAGATCCTCAAGAACTTTTACAGTAAGGATGAAAAGCATGTGCAGCTGCTTGTGACAAGTGTCATGAAAAATAATTGCTGAACCTACACAGTACAGATCTGGAGATGGTGTGAGCTGAACCTACACAGTACAGATCTGGAGATGGTGTGAGCTTGTCCAAAAATGTGAGGTGAGATCTCTACTCCAGATAAAGGGCTCAGTAAACAAGAGGGACTCAGTGCCCACAACTTTGTGTGGTGCTAGGAATCCAATGTAGGGCTGGTACATTAGGCAAATACTACTACTGAGCTACACACTGTAGGCTTCTCGCCCAACTTCTGTACTGTTGGCTAGAGTTGACAGGAGATAGAGATGTCAGATTAACCCAAGTGAGAACTTAGTGGAGAACACCCCAGATTAGAGACCATCAGAACTGTGCAGAACAGTCGTAGTGTAAAATAAAACATGGAGAAAAAATCATCAATGCCTCAATTTCCTCATCTGAAGTACCAGTTACCTATCTCAAATGTAAGAATTATAGCAGCTAAAAAAGTATCTAGAATCATAGCTGACAGTAAAATCTCAGTAACTGGCAATAGTTCAGTAAACATGAGACCAGGGCAGAGACCACAGAAAGGACCCCTGCTCTCACCAGTAACTCATGTGGGAGATGAACATGAATTTGTAACTTGGATATACAGTTCTACTTGTTCTACAGACAAAGAACACCTGAGCCGATCTGGGACCTGGAACCCATCCTCCAAGTCTTCGTTGTTTGCAGTAATGAAACAACTACCTTAAAGCACAGGGGCTTCTGGTTATATGGAAAGTCCAAGCTCACACTGGAGGTGGCTTAGTCTTGCTGGGCCCAAGTGGGCTGTGTCCAGGGAGACTCGCACTGCCTGGCTCCAGGTGTGCCTCTGCACATTCACAAAAGTAAAGGTCCACGCTTCCCAGAGGCTCTGGCACTGTTGCCGTGGTCAGAGACTGCAGTGCTGCATGGGTGAGCCTAGAACTGGGCTCTGAGTTCTTGTGTGTGGAGAAGGAGGCAAACAAGTTGGGTATCAGTTGTTTAAGGATAGGAGAGAATGAAGCAGAACCGGCAGGCAGAGCAGCCAGTGTGTAACACCCAAGCTGAAGACTGGTATGGCTAAGGCATATATTGCAGGAGAGCAGTCACCGAGGCCTCAGTCAGGATCATGGATCTCATTTAAAGAACGATGGGAAAACATCCTGGAAAGCTTCACAGCACATGAAGCTCAAACTAGAAGCATGGCCATTCTAAGTGACAAGCTAGGATCGAGAGCTGAAGGTGAAGCCCAGGGAAACAGGAATTTTGTACAACCTGAGGGGCCAAGTAAAAACAAGTAGCTTAAGTCCAAGTCAGCCAATAACCTTGAAAAAACCTGCTGTTTCCTCCTCTAGACAATGCTTCATCCATTTATTTCCTTTTAACAAGCAAGGTTTTTCTATTCCTACCCTTGTTCTAAACTTCAGGCACTATAGATGGGCAGATAGTTAGCTATTCTAACCCAGTATTTGCCTGGCCTATTTCCCAGTCACATGGCCATCTTAATTACGTGCCATCTTAGTTTTACTCTAGCTGCTCCTTCTCTGTGTCCTGTTGGGACAACTCTCCTCTGGTTCCCACCTAAGATGGCCCTCACTGGGATCAGAAGTCCAGCCTTATGCTCTCCTGTCCAGCTATTGGCTGTTTAGCTCTTTAGTTGACCTATCAATAGGTGATGGAGAACAAATGTTTATAAAACATTGATAGGTGGTGCTTCAGAAATATGCCAAAGTCAGACTGTAACCAGATCTCTGGGTACAGAAATCGACATTTGAATCCAAAGTGTACAAAAACACCTTCCATTTCCCTTTAGCAAAACTCAAAAGAGCTGCCTAAAGCTGCTCTCTACTTCCCTGTGTCCTTCCTTCAGTAAATCCCAAACTTCAAGCCTAAAACTTTGGAAAACCCAACAAAACTCAGTTTCTTTATATCCTCGGCCACGCTGAAAGGCTCTACCTAAAACAATTTTCTCCCTGTTTACACTAGCCTCTTTCCCTATCTTAGCTACAACATTCTCCTCTTACCTTTTCATTCGATTTATTGTTTTATGTGTGCTTTGCCTGTGTGTAGTATGTGTACCACATCTGTATGTACTTGGTGCCCATGGAAGTCAGAAGAGGGCACTGGATTCCCTGTAACTGGAGTTATGGATGGCTGTAAACTACCACTCGGCACCTGGAATCAAAACAAGGCCCTCTGCCGGAGCAACAAGTGCTTTTAATCGCTGAGCCATCTCTACTTCTTCAGCGGTTTCATCCAGTTATGTGGACATGGCTGCAAATGCCATGTAGCAAAAAGAACTGAAATTTTGGAGTCGGCAATACATGAAAGGTGGTCGAGAGTTTTACTTTGAAAATCATTTATTTTACATTATGTAATCAAAGATACAAACAAACAAACAAATAAACAAACACCAAGCACTTAGAATTGCCCTGGAATTCTTCCACTTGATCTTCAATCTGCAATTAGAATAATCTTAATTCCACACAAAATTTCCTAAAGCTGCTGGGCAGTGGTGGTACATGCCTTTAAGCCCTATACTTGGGAGACAGAGGCAAGAGGATCTCTGTGAGTTTGAGGTCAGCCTGGTCTACAGAGTGAATTTTAAGATAGCCAGGGCTACACAGAGAAAAAAAAATCCTAAAGCTAGGAAGCCCATGAAGCACCTTAGGGTAACTGCTAATTCTTTCTCAGAATGTTAGCTGGTCTCTACAGAACACCGGCCCCTCATTCCCCCACTGGTGCAATGCAGAGCTCTCCTGGGAGCACTACCATGAACTTGCAGATTTACTTTCTAGTTCTTGGATCAGAAGGATCTTAGGCTCAAAGGACATTAGATAGTTCTAGAATCAAGATGGCTCCTGGCTCAGGATCAGAATCTTCTAGAGAGAATAAGGTTCAGATCTGCTGAGTGGCCAAGCTGGAGATGGAAGCTGGAGAGGCCAACACACTGTGGTGGAATGGAAAAATTCATGTAAGAGTGAAGTAAGTGAAAGACTAGGAGAAAGCAGGACAACTGACAGCGGTGAGCCTTCCTTCCAGCTCCACTGGTCTCTCTAAAAAATTTGAAAACTTCAGTCCAGCTTGCTTCCACACTAGAATTCCTACAAACAGAAACAAAATCAAGACAATTAAGAGACATCAGAACAGAAGACAACATCATAGCTAAGTACTTTATACTTAGACCCCCCCACCCCCACATGATAAAGAATAAAAGAGACCATGGTGGCATACACAAGGCAGGCAGGCAGATCTCTGTGATTTGAGGCTGGCCTGCCTGATCTATGTAGCAAGTTCCAGGCCAGCTAAGGCTGTACAGTGAGATCCTTTCTCAAGAATTAATATTAAAAACTAAATTAAAAAGGGGATCTGGGAATAGACTCATTATTAGACAAGCATACTTGTAATTTTGGAATGCTTAGTTCAAGAGCCAGTTCATGTTAACCTAAACTGGCAATGCAGAGGAAAAGGAAACCGCACTGCCATCTAAAATGCTCAGGTAACATGTGTGTCTTACTCACGGTCACCAGTTCTCCTTGTTGGCAGCACATCTGGTGTTCTGGCCCTCGTACTTGAGGAAGCCTCTCCTGGGCAGCGCTGCTTTAACCTCCACTGGAGAAGGTAGGTTTGGATTATGCTTTGTTAACATCTAAAACAAAAAATTCTTTTTATCAGGTCCATATTTATGAATGACAAATCTGGAAGATGTTATAAAAATTCAAGAAAAGCTATGAACAATGTAAAGATAAGGGTTATTTAAAATACTTTTTAAAAATCAGCATATAAACATACATGTCCTTATAAACAATAAAAAAAGAAAATTAAATTAACTTCACATGGAAGCTTGATGTCGAAAATCTAAACACACATTTACTGAAGTTATGGAACATCCCGAGAGCCATGTTAAGAAGTCTTGATGGTGTAGAAACTAACAGGAAGACTGAGATGCCCAGAAGAGGAGGTACACAACAGCTGTGAGTAAGTGCACTGCATCTAGTCAAGACTGAGCAAATGAGCATCCATCATGGGTGGGGAGAGGCTCACAGGCCCTAGCTCTCCTGAAGTATCCAGATACAGTTAATAAGGAGGGCAAGACATTTTCTTCAGTGGCAGAGCCACCTGTCAACAAACCCTCACTCATGCTCCTATAAACAGCCCTAATGAAACTCATTTGGAGTGTCTCTCTTAACACAGAAGTAGAGGGAGCTGATTGGGAAGGGAAAGGGGGTCCGAAGGAGTGGGACAAAAGAAGGTAATGGGTGTCTGTGTGTACCTGTGAACATGAACAAAATATATTATGTACATGTAGGACAATGTCATCAGAAAACCCATTACTATAGAATTAACACATGCTGCTTAAAACAGAAAAAGAGGGCTGGATTGATGGCTCAGTGGTTCAGAGCACCGTCTGCTCTTCCAAAGGACCCGGGTTCAATTCCCAGCACCTACATGGCAGCTCACAACTGTCTGTAACTCCAGTCCCACGAATTCTGACACCTTCACACCAATGCACAAAAAGAATAAAGTTAAATAAATTATTTAAAAAAAAAAACAGTAAAAGAAAAAGAAGTATCACAGTGAACGTAATACTGGAGGACCTGGATTCAATTCCCAGCACTCCCATGGCAGCTCACACTGTCTGTAACCCCAATTTCAAGGGATCTGACATCTTTACACTAATGCACATAAAATAAAATTAAATAAATTAAAAAAAGGGAATCTGATTGGCCTGCTCGTTGATCACTTCCCCCTGAGGGGGGAGCAGCCTTACCAGGCCACAGTAGAGGACAATGCAGCCACTTTTGATGAGAACTGATAGACTAAGATCAGAAAGAAGGAGAGGAGGACCTCCCCTATCAGTGGACTTGGGGAGTGGCATGCATGCAGAAAGGGGAGGGAGGGTGGGATCGGCAGGGGAGAAGGGAGGGGCTTATGGGGGGATACAAAATGAATAAAGTGTAATTAATAAAAAAAAAAATAAAAGATTAAAAAAAAAAAAAAGGGTAGAGTGCTTCTGTGCCATAAACAAGTCCCAGCGTTTTGCCCCTGCACCCTTACTTTCCACAGAAAGAAAACCCGCAGCAGGAAACAGTAGCCCGCCACATGCACCCTTGTAAAGACAGATGCTCCCTCCTCACCCAGTCCATCTTCTAAGAGCAGCAGAGCTGGGATTGGAGACAGCTTAGCAGGTACGAGCATGTACCAGAGTTCGCTTCCCAGCTCCCACTTGGGCAGCTTACAACTGCCTGTAATTCTAGATTGGATGCCCTCTTCTGACTCCTCAGGCACCTGCATTCATAGGTTCATGTACTCCTACACATAAGTAAAAGTAAAATATACCAAAAAAAGGTAAAATTTAATAGATCCTTTGTTGATCTTTCAGGGTGAGTCAGTTCTGGCATTTGTGTATTTTTCACCGGGTTTATTGTTCTTGTGGCCTCCAGTAAGGCAGAGAAGCTCTAGAGCAGTCTCTCAGGAGTTCTCTGCCCCTGCAAACTGTCCAACACTATAACCTGGATTAGTGGCAGTTGGACCAGTCATCTAGCAGTGTCTACTAGTTGGTGATACCACACTACAGAGTCAGCCTTTTTAATACCAGATAAATCAATGCCCACAAACTGACAGTTTGAGAAATGAGGACACAGGTATTAATGACACCCTGCTATGGAGAATATAGAGCAAATGGCATTTTCACTTTCAATGGAACAACAGCTAATGTGGCAATCACAGATAAAAACTAACAGAAACAATACATTGTAGAACACAAACTACAAGAAAAGGTAGTTCTCATGAAAGTAATATTGCTAAAGCCAAGTTAGGAACTGGTAGTTTTTGGTTCAGGAAAGCCTTAAGGTTTTTCTCAATACCCAAAGTCCCACACTGGCAATATGTGTAAATGACAGTTTACATGCGCTTTCAGGTCTCTAACACAAGTATATAATTTTCAAAATATTGGAAAATAACCTGGAGAATGTCTTCTGGAATTGTAGTGACTTCTGGAGGACTGGGTGTTCTGATATTTTCACAAGAAGTAATTGTAGGAGAAGGGGGATCTGCAAAATTCTCATAGCATTCATCTGAATTTAAGATTAACGGAGCACAATCCTTAACGTCCAAATCACTCACTGAAGTATTTGACTTTGATAATGGATAATTTTTATATACCTACAGAATAAAAATAATTGAATTATAGTAAATAAATAATAATGTTTAAATACATTTTTATTCAATTACTAGTTCCTTTGGAGTCTAGTAGAGCAGGCTCTGAACTTTTCTGACTGAGTTCTACTGAGTTCTTGATTTTTAACCAAGAAACAAAGTACTGTCTCAGTACTAATACAGGAGAACTTGACAGAACAGCGGCTGACTACAGATCTGGACAGAGGCCCCGCCCCATCTCAGGCAGCACAAAACTAAGTACTGGGGCAGCAACATGAGGCCTAAGGAGGGAGATCAAAGCTTTTACCTTGATGGACCTTTACCAAATCTGTAAAGTCTCCGCAGGGGGTAGTTTCAAGGCAGGAATGCAGATGAGCAGAAAACAAAAGGAGGAAAGGCTAGTCTGCTAGACAGGAAAGGCCAGCTCAAAAGAACATAATGTTTATTTATACATGCAGGCTCACTGCCATACCCAAGAGAGGCTTAGCATACACTTAAGAAGTCATGCAAAGTCAAGTTAATAAAGACAGTGTGGTTACAAATAGCACACCAACAGGTGCCTTCCACAGGAACAGAAATTTAACAAGTGGGTGTGGTGGTGGGGCAAGAGGATGAGGAGACCATAGTCAATTCTAGGCTTTAAGCAAGGTCTAAGGCCACTCTGGGCTACATGAGGCCCTTTCTTTTTAAAAACAAAACAAAACAAAACAAAACAAAACCACTCTGTGCACACCGCCAAAAGATGCATGTGCAGCTGCACTGTCCAGCATTTCTAGCCACAGCTCAGGTACATCAAGCCACATTTTACGTACTTAAAAACTAAAAACGACAGGACACTCCACCACAGTCAATAGCCTTGTCAGACTGTACAGCACCAGCTGTCTCACCCGACTCATGAGTAAGGTTTGATTATGTTGAAAATAAGTCAACAATGCTAAGCATTAAGTTACTTAAAAATCTGTTACCTAGAAAGAACCAGTCTGAGCTGTTTCTATTCACTTTTTGCTTAAAATATGTATGTGTGCATGGTGGCTCACAACCATCTGTAATGAGATCTGGTGCTGGTGCCCTCTTCTGGCATGTATACATGCAGGCAGAATAATGTATAAATAATAAATAAAATTTAAAAAATGTGTGTGAATAATCATTTATCTTCAAGAATATCAAACTTCTTGAAAACATTTTTTTTTTTTTTTTGCTTGGTCACATCTGACTTTAAGACTGACAAGATAGATGGCATCCGCCCTCAGACATGCTCACTGCATTCATTCTCTGCTTTCTCACTAGCTATTTGCATTGGTTCTCATGGCTCCAAATTCCTTCCTATACTGTCACATAATCTTTGTCTCAAATTGCCTTAAACAAATTTTGATGTATGAAAAAGATGATGGGTCCTGCTCTATGGGGATAAACTACCTCCCGACTGCACTGTACATGCGTTCGTAAGAGCTGCACTAGTCTAACCTGTTACCATGCTGAGTCTACAAGTCATGACTCAGTCATAAGAAGATTAGAGTGTTTAAGTTCAGTGGAACTTTACCAAATGTGCACTGTCCAATGTAGAAGGAATCTTCAAACCAGGAGTGCAGAATTTAGGTGGCAACGGTGACTTGGTGTATTCAGCATCTAGAAGACATTAAAAAATTAAGTTTAAGTATTCCATCTTTAAAATTTTTTATACAATTATGTATGTGTGTGCACATGATTGGAGGTGTCAAAACGCTCAGCTAGCCCTGGAGCTGGAGTTAGAGGTGGTTGTGAGCACCTAATGTGGCTGCTGGGAATCGAACCAGGGTCCAACAGAAGAACCCTCTAGCGGCATGTGCTCCTAAACTGAGCCATCTTTCAGCCCCAGTATTCCAATTTTCAAGTTAAAAGCACTGTCACTCTAGCTTGTATATTTTATTATTAATGTTTTAAAAATATAAATTTGGTGTGCAGTTTGGCTGGACAAGAAAAACCCAAACTGTCAAATTCACATATATACTTATCATTAGTATTAATAAAAGTTGCATGACATGAGAGCAGTACAAAGCAATGAATTCTGCTGTACTAGGTAACATATAAGAGTGACGAACTTTTTTTTTTGAGACAAGTTTTCTCTGTGTAGTCTTGGCCATCTTGGACTCGGGGCTGGCCTCAAACTCTCAGTGATCTGCCTGCCTCTGCCGCCTGAGTGCTGGGATTACAGGCGCGCACCACCTAGCTTCATGCCTGGATTTTTAACGGCAGTTTTGGGGACCCTAACCCAATTCGGCCCTCACATTTGTGTAGTGAGTATTTTACCAACTGAGCCATCTCCCCAGCCATACTTCTTTAAAAAGCCATACTTTATTGGGAAATGACTTCTGACCATGGCATAAAGGCATAGATGTCTGTGCATGTTTATGCCTATGGAGGTCAGAAAAAGACATCGGAGGCCCTGGAATTGGAGATACATATGGTTTTGAGTACATGGTTGCTAGGAATCAAATCAGGTTCCCTGGAAGAACAGCTAATGCTCTTAACTGCTGAGTTATCTCTGCAGCCTTAATTTCACTTTTTTTTTTTTTTTAAAGTAGCATCTTGGGAGCTGGAGAGATAGCTCAGCAGTTAGGGCACTGGCTGCTCCTCCAGAGGACTAGCTTCAATTCCTAGCCCCCAATGGCAGTTTACAACCATCTGCAACTCTAGTTTTGGGGGATCTGATACCCTCTCCTGGACTCTGAAAGTACCAGATAGGCATGTACTTGGTACACAGACATATATGTAGAATACCCATACACACTAAAAATAAAAAAGTAAAATAAAAAGCATCTTGGCAGGCAGAACTTCTGTTACTGCCATACCCAGTTCGTTCCTTTCAATATACCAATGAGTCTCTTTTCTTTCTTTAAACAACCAGTACTTCTTTAATGCACCCACCCTCTACCTTACAGAACTGTAAGCTACCAACAGTTATGAGCCAGTTATTTTTTTAAACTCATCTGTATGAGCAGTGCAATTTAATAACATGTTTTAAAATTACATATTTTTTTCCCCTAAAAATAGTTCAAAACTTTGGAAAGATAAAGACAGTTTAAACATTTGCCAATAAGGTGAGAAGAGCTCACAGATTTGGAAAAATTAAAGAATAAATGGGGGCTGGAGAGGTGGCTCAGTGGTTAAGAGCTCTGGCTACTCTTCTAAAAGACTCGAATTCAGTTCCCCAGCATCCACATGGCACTCAGCCACCTGTAAGTCTAGGTCCAGAGGATCTAACACCCTCTTTTCACCTCTACAGGCAACAGGAGAACATGTGGCGTACTGACACACATAGAGGCAAAACACTCATACATACAAAAATAATTTTTTTTTTTTTAATTAAAGAATATCTATTTTTGTGGGGTAAGACACTCTCAATGCAGTCCAGGCTGGCTCAAGCTTGGCCTTTAAGCTAATTTTTAAACTCACCAGTTTTTTCCAGCTGCTGGATTATGGGACCAGGAATAACAAAAGAATTATTATTGGTCACAGGCCTTGTTTGTATGGACAGGTCACAGGCCTCTTCACTGGTTCCATTCTCACGGAAACTGTAAAGTCATAAGAGTTAACATTCAACATTTGTAGAAAAACTTCATCTTACTGTATTTCAGTTTGGAGTAGCTCATTTTCAGTTTATAAAATAAAGACCAATAGAAGAAGTCATCAAAATAATTAACAAATATTAAATATATTAAATATTAAAGATATGTGTTATATCTTTTACTTCAAACATTTAAAGTAATATAATACTTACTTTAAATATAGTAATATATAAAGCAAGGTGTAGAGGCACATACTCAAAACCCTAGCACTTGAGAGACAATAGATAATACCCTATCTTGATCATCTTGAAGAAGACTAACAACCTCCACTGTGGAATTTCTTATCTAGCATATAACTGCAGTTAAATTGGCAGACTTCATTAACAACCTAGTATGACAGGATTTGTTATTTTTAATTAGTCTATCTGACAGAAAGCAAAATTATTGAAGCCCAATAGCAAATTGCAAAGGGCTGGACAGATAGCTCAGTGGTTAAGGGCACTGGCTGCTCTTCCAGAGAACCAGCGTTCAATTCCTAACCCCTACAGGGCAGCTCAGTCTCTAACTCCAATCCCAGGGGATCTGATGCCCTTCTTCTCAGGTACCAGGCATGAACAAGGTGCTGACAAAACACCCAAACCTTCAAAAAAAATTAGAAATGTTAAAAACTGTCACTATTTTAGAGTAAAAAGACTGAGTCTGTCATTTTATTAAGACTGACTTGCCCAAGGTGGGCATGGTGGCAAACTCCTTTAATCCCAGCACTGAGGGAGGCAGAGGCACGAGGATCTCTGTGAGTTCGAGGCCAGCCTGAACCAAGGCTGTTACACAGAGAAACCCTGTCCTGAGAAAAAAACCAAAACAAAAACCAAACAAAAAAGAATGACTTGCACAATTACGGCAACACAGGAGAAAACACTGCATGCTGTGCGGATCCTACCACTCCTTAACTTCTCTAAGGAAATCAATAACTCACACTTCATTGATGAAATTACTGATTTGAGAGATTTAAAATATGAAGTAGCTAAAGAGATGGCTCAGCGTCTCCAGCCCTTCCAGAAGACCCCTGGCACGACATAAGTGGTAGCTAGCTCATTTTAACCCTGTCAAAAAGGCTAAGGTTAAAATTAAAAAAAAAAAAAAAAAAAAGGCAAAGGTGGTACACACCTTTGCCCTCAGCACCAAGAAAGCAGAGGCAGGATTCTCTGAGTTTCAGGGCATCCAGGACTCCAGGATTCCACAAAAAGACTCTGACTCAAACAAACAAACAACAACAACCAACCAAACACAGAAACCCACGTTTTGCTGTGTGGATGGTAGGAAAGGGGAACACAGGAACACACTCATTTACTGCTAACAGGAGTGCAAACAGGTGCAGCCCTCTAAAAACCAGTGTGGAGGCTCCATATAAAGCTAGAACTAGATCTTCCATGTGAGTTACACCACTGTTGCACATGTACAAGTGTGCGTATCTTCCTACAGAGGTCTTCTCAACTATGTTCATTGCTGTTCTGTTTATGACAGCCAGGAAATGGAAATACTGACATGTTCATCTGCTGGTAACAGATCTGAAAATGTGCTGCATTTACACGGTGGAATATTATTCAGCTTATTAGAGAAATGAAACTAGGCCATTTGCAGGTAAATGGATGGAACTGTAAACAATCATTCTGAATGAGGTAATGCAGCCTCCCAAAGACAAACATTACATCTCCTATGGTATGTGAACTATGCAGAGGCACAGCCTGTAGGGACCACAAGGAGAGGCATTAAGGACAGCAGATACAGCACAGGGTGTGTGTGGGGCATGGGGAATATGGAGTAAGAAGGATTAAGTGGGGTGGAGGATGAGATGAGGGTAGGAGAGAAGGTCAATTAACACTAAAGAGCTTTGAAAGGGCCATGGAGACCTACCACTGTAGAAGCTTCCTAAAACATACACACACAGGAACAGTTTAAAAGGAGTTACCCCATACCAAGAACACTGGCCCCCACCTCCGAGACACACAGAAATCCCAGAGCCTGGAAAAAGTTACCTTTTGGAGTTGTTTGCCAGTAAAGCCCCATAGACTCCCAACCCATTATAGAGAAATTATGCTCACTAGAGTTTCAGAAATAACCACTTTCTAACTGAAATTATGCTCACTAGAGTTTCAGAAATAACCACTTTCTAACTGAAATTATGACCTGATCCACAAGCTGGAAGCCAGGCCTAACACTGTTATTGGGGACAAGAACCTGTGGCTAGATAGGTCCCAGGAGAACCGACTCATGTTAGTTGTGCTACACGTTGGAGTATTAAACTGAAGCCTAATGACGATGCTATGATGGGTGTGTCCACCCAGGTTTTCACTTTTGAGGCACGCTTTCTCTACATAGCCCTGAATGTCCTGGACTCCCTATGTAGACCAGGCTGGCCTCAAACTCAGAGAGCTGCTCCCTCAGTGCTGGGGATAAAGCCAGCACCACCACGCCCACCACCACTGCATTCCTGAATCTTTGGGGATTTTTCTTTTGTTTCAGGCTGGCCTTGAACTCACACAGATCAGCCTAGCTCTGCCTCCCAAGGATGTCCAGCTTTGAAAAGCTTCTTTTTGCGGATGAGCATTTACACAGAGATCCACAACTAGTCAAGACTACAGAGTGCTCAGCCCTAAACGGGATCATCTTGGAAGAAGAGGCAGTGGAGGACTACATTAAAATAGTCTTTTCCAGGGTCTGGAGAGTTGGCTCAGTGGTTAAGAGCACTATCTGCTCTTCCAGAGGACCTGGGTTCAATTCTCAGCAACAACATAGCAGCTCTCAACTCTAAGTCCAAAATCTGACACCCCTACACAGACATAAATGCAAACCAAACACCAATGCAGTAAAATAAAAATAAATATTTAAAAAAATAAAAAAAAGTTTTCCTGGCACAACAGGGCAGTTCACATATGAACTCACAACAGTTGTGACAGAATGTACAAAGTTAAGCTACACCAAATACCAATATGGAGGAGGAAGGAGGCCACAAAGTCTCACCCTTAGCAGAGGAGCTACAGGTACCTGTCATCTGCTGAGAGACATGTGGTCCTTGGCAGGTAGACTATGCTGCAGCAGTATTTGGGAGCACAAATCAGACTCCATGGGTTATTTAATGAAAAGGACATGAACTGGGGGGATGGTAGTTCTAGAGGAATTAGAGGGAACAAACAAACAAACAAACAAAAACCCTGTATAAAGTTTATAAAGAATTAACAAAAATATTTTCTGATGTTAACACACACTGTTAACTACTGAGCCACTAGCAGTCAACATCACACACTGCTCTTCTAGGAGCTGAGCTGGGTTTCCAGCGCCTACGTCAGGCAGCTCACAACTGCCTGCACCTCCAGTTCCAAGCGGATCCAATGGCTCTGGGCTCTGAAGGCACCCGCACTGACCAGCACACACCCACATGTGTGATTAAAAATAAACCTTTTAAAAAAGTCATGTTGCTTACCTCTTATTGTTCTTCATGTTTTTAAGTCCAATTGTATAATCTTCATTTAAACACATAGTATGTTCAGATATACCAAAGTGTTCTAATTTTGGGGTTACACACTCAAAATCATCCATCCTTATGGCACATCTGGGGGTCTTGAGCACTTTAACAAAAGGCTCTTTGGCAGGAGGGGTTTCAGATACACACTCCTCTTCAAGGCTGATGGCTGTCTGGGGAGGGTTTGCTGGGACTTGGGAGACCATGTACCGCTCGAGTCCGAAATCTGAGAGCTGTGGGCTACGCAGAGGCTTTTCAGAAACAGAACTGCTTGGAACACATGGATCAGACAGGTCACCCTTCACACCAGGCTCCTTGACATCTTCACACACAGCCACTTCTGGGGTGGACTCCTTTTCTCTCTGCTCACATGCTAGGAAGAAAAGTTAAAGAGGTAAGTTCCGGTTAAATATCCAGACCAAACACTTTTTGACTATTAAAATAACACAGAATAACACACTGAAAATGTTCCACATCAGCCAAATATTGATGCTTTGAAGCTTTCATTTCAACTGTCCTACAAGTCTGACATACATCTTACCTACTTGTATTCTATCTAGACATTTTAGAGAAATGAAACTGTTTCAAGAAATCAACACCCACAAACAAAATCCAATTGATTTCCTCAATGTGATTTATCGATCAGTCTTAGTGTTTCCTGAAAGCATTTAGTATGAAATTAGTGTATAATCAACTGTTCTAGATTTTACACTAACTATAACAATATGATTTTAGACTTTTAATTTTGTACAAATTTTCAATTACATTACATTCTCTCCTTGTGGGTTCTGGAAATCAAATAGAGCTTGTCAGGTTTAGTGACAAGTGCCTTCACCCAGAGCTGTCTTGCAAGGCATAAACTTAACTTTTAGGTGTCCAAGTACAGAGGAAAAAAGAGGAGTATTTGAATGTACGTTTCTTTTAGGAGGAAAGCAAATTCTATCACACTTTTTTTTTTCTTTTTCTTTCTAGCCTACAGTACCTGCTATCCCCAGATGGTCTCCCATCCAAGTACTAACCAGGCCCGACCCTGCTTAGCTTCTGAGATCAGATGAGATCGGGTATGTTCAGGGTGGTATGGCTATTACACATTTTTAAACTTTGAAGGTAAACTGAACTCTAGTACATCATGTTGACTAACTGACTTACCATACATACATACTTACTGGATCTTATTAATGCTTTTCTGACATACAATGATGATCTTCATAAAAGAACAAGATATTGAAACATTTTAAGCCACCCACTCAGAGTCTGGGCAAAATGGCAGCAGCAGCAGTTAACACTGGCCAACAGACTAATCAGTTGGTCTCCATCTAGCGATCTTCATGCCTTGGCCTCTAAAGGACTGCAATACGCTCAGCTCTCACTAGTCTTTCTGCACCCTCATGAAGTAGCTACATTACATTCCCCACCTGACACTGAGGAACAGGTGAGTAATGAGGCTCTGAGCAGTGACAACTTTTGAACTGCTGCCCTTTCTGCCTCACACCCCTAGGATTACAGGCATGTGTTGTTTTACTAAGCCATGAGAGTATACTAACCAATCCTTTTTTTTTTTTTTGACAAGTTTGCAACTAAGAAATTATTTTGTCAATTTGTACAGCTCAAGCATCTTGTTCTGCAGAAAAAGAATCTGAATATAAAAGGATGAAAGAGTACTGTGTGGTTCTCCAGCTACTTATTGGCAGAACTAACTAGGCATGTTGTGCCCATCCTGCCGGGTGGTTTTACCTGCACTTTCTCATTTTCAACAGCTCAAAGAAGACTTATGTCCAGGACTGTGTCAGTTCTCATCTAACACTATGGAAAGCAGAACAAGGGCCAGTTTTATTTCTTGCTGCCAAGTCTTCCTGCTGTTGTTCAAGATCCAGAAGTTGCCTTACAGGGTGCACTGGCTGGCAGAGTGCTGAATGCTCCCTGAACAATCTGACAGCTGAGCCTTTAGTTGTCTTAATCACTCTGGCTCCCATTCTGAGATGCTAAGAAATGAAAGTCAATCAAACCTGAATCTTTGTCCCGTGTTTGATATCCATACTTCTGAAAATACTCTCTTAGTTTTATGATGTCTGTTGTATTTTTTCTCATCAGTACTTTTGTTGCCTTTATGAAACTTGTGCTTTCTTGGCTTTCCAACCTTGCTTTATCAAGAACGGTGTTAACATCATCCTTTTAGGAAGAAAGCAAATATATTACACATTTTCTAACTTTCAAGTTTACTTTGTGAAGATTACTATTGTTTAAGTTTAAACTTACTATGCTTGAGACCAAAAAGCAAAAATGCTTCTAACATGTAAGCCCCTAGCTTGTACAAGCTGTACCCTAGCAGCTCACTTTCCTTTTTCCCCAGACACTGACTATTCTTAAAGTTGACTCATCTTATAAAATCTGCTCTTCTTGCAAGATAGGAGTTCACAAGACTAACTGCTATTTCTATTTGTAATCAAGCTTACTCTCTTAAAGAGAGAGTAAGACAACTAGAATAACTTTAAGACAAATATGTTAAAATTAGGCCCCGCCTACGCACAGGTACAACTCATGTAATCCTGTGGGGTTTGCCTTCATAAGCCCTGAATGGATATGTCCAACTGCTTAGCTTGGAAGCATTCTCAGGTACAGTCCTGGTGCCAATCAGTGCCAGTATCTAAATAAAAACCTCTTCTCATTTAAAATCTTAGTTGCCGTCAGATTGGTGCTCTCTGAGAGACCCCATACCCATAACAACTTAAGCTAGAGGAAAGTTACCCACAGAGAGAAATGCTAAGTTAATAGTACCTTTAGGGTCTGGACTTCTGAATGAAGGTCATACAAAATTCTCATTGGAGAATCCTCAAAGTCTTCAGGAAAGAAAAATGTTCAATAAACATGAGGAAAAGAAAAAAAAAATTAATGTAGTACTTTAGACATAAAAATCCTATTGGGCGGCAGTGGGCACACCTTTAATCCCAGCACTCGGGAAGGAGAGGCAGGTGCATCTCTGTGAGTTCCAGAACAGCCACGGATACACAGAGAAACTCTTACCTTGGAAAAACAAAAACAAAACAAAAATAATAAAAGCACTCAATAAACTACAGCACATATAAAGTGCATAATCCAGGAACAGCAGCCCATGCTTTTGATCCAGAACTGAGAGGCAAAGGTAAATGGATCTGTGTGGGCTCAAGGACAGACTAGTCTCTGATCAACATAGTAAGAGCTACACAGAGGGAGTCTGTCTGATCAAATAAATAAAGTACACCTAGCACTGAAAGACTCTACCTAGCAGTGTTTCAAAGCAGACACTAAGACTCATAACCAAACCCTCGGCAGAGTGCAGGGAATCATATGAAGGAAGGGAAGTTAGTATGATATGGAAAGGATAGGAGCTCTACAAGGACCAAACATATCTGGGCACAGGGTCTTTTCTGAGACTGACACTCAACCAAGGACCATCTATAGATATAACCTAGAACTTCTGCTCGGATGTGGCCCGTGGTAGCTCAGTAACCAAGTAGTTTTCCAAAGTAAGGGGAACACGGACTATTTCTAACAGGATCTCAAGGGCAGGCTGTTTGACCACCCCCCCCCAGGGGAGGAGCAGTCCTGTTAGGCCACAGAGGAGGACTTTGCCGCCAGCCCTGAAGATACCTGATAAAACAGGGTCAGATGAAAGGGGAGGAGGTCCTCCCCTATCAGTGGACTTGGAAAGGGGCAGGGAGGAGACCAGGGAGGGAGTGTGGGGTTGGGGAGGGAATGAGGGAGCGGGATACAGCTGGGACACAGAGTTAACAAAATGTAACTAAAAAGAAAAAAAAAAAAAAAAAGTACACCTAGCAGACAAATGTCCTCTAAAAATATAAACATAATATACAGCAACTGAGACAATGGAATAAGACTCAGCATTACTCTAGAATGCAGATAAACACGAGAATGGTGCTAAAGGACTACATATCACACAGTGCCTTTCACAGTAACGTCTAGAAGAGCCGGGTCCACTCACACAGAAAGTGGAGGTAAGGTTGCCCAAGGCCACTATGATGGATGGTGACAGGATTAAGGGGAACAACTGTTTAATGAACCAGAGTTTGGGTTACTGGAGTTGAGAGAAGTACCTGTAAAGGAAGACCCATGGCTTCTGTGACAAAGTTTCAGTGAGTTAGTTCAATTACCTTTGGAAATTATTAAAATCGAAACCTCCTGTACCAACAGTTGCACAACTCTGACTATACTAAGAGCCAATGAAATGCATTCTTAAAAGTCTTACTGTATGTTAGTTATCTCAAAGATAAGGTGTAAGTCCATTTAATGACTCATCACTACAGTCACTGTCTTAGGGTTATCATTGCTGTAATGAAACACCATGACCAAAAGCAACCTGGGGAGGAAACCTGGAGGCAGAGCTGATGCAGTGGCCGTGGGAGGGTGCTGCTTACTGGCTTGCTCCCTACGGCTTGGTTGGCCTGCTCTTATGGAAGCAATGACCACCAGCCCAGAGATGGCACCACCCACATCAAACATTAATTAAGAAAACGCTCTACAGGCTTGCCTACAGCCCAATCTTATGGAGGCAGTTTATCAACTGAGGCTACCTTCTCTGAGATGAATCTAGCCTGTGCCAAGTTGACATAAAATTAGCAGCAGTTATTAAAAGTGAAACTTCTGGCAATCTTACACACACACACACACACATATACACATACATATATATATACACATACACACACACATATATATTACATATTAAAGAATTATTACATTTTCTTGTTAAAAAAACAAATGAAGTTTGTGCAGAGATAATATTTTGGTAAGAATATAAAGCAGCAAACACTGAGAAGCAATTTTTATATAGTGGAAAAAATAGACTATAGCATGTAGTCTATTATGCTGCATTAACTCAATGTAAATAAAGCACTTTTTAACCCCATAAACTAAGAATGGCAAAAACAACAACAACAAAAAAAGCTTCTAAAACAGCAAGTGTTGTCTCTTGAGTTAAAGAGAAAATATGTATATTCTTTTTACTTTTCTGTAAATTTTCCTACGGTGCATGTTACTTTCACAGTCCCCAAAACATTTCTAAATGGAGAGTTAGTCATAAGTAAGAGAAATCTGTGTGTACAGGGTGCAATTTTTTTCTTTTCTTCTTTTTTTGTTTTTATTTTTTTGAGACAGGGTTTTTCTGTGTAGCCTAGGCTCTCATCAAACTCTGAGATCCAACTGCCTCTGCCTCCCAGGGTGCTGGGATCAAAGGCTTACGATAATTATGACATTTAAAGAAACAATCTCAAAATCTGAACTACGTTTGCGTTTTGTTTTTTTGCTTGTTTATTTTGGACAGCGTCTCGCTACGTTAGTCCTGTTGACTGATAGGTCAAGCGTTCCCTACTGAGACCAGGCTGGCCCGGAACTCACAGCAATTTGCCTGCTTCTGCCTCTTTGAGCGCTGCGATTCAAGGGGCGCGCCGCTCCTTGACCTGCAACGAACAAACAGCAGGGTAGTGCTCTGTGGAGGAAACAACAGCCATTTACTGGAGAAAATGCAGATGGGCCTGCTCAACAGGGGCCCGTTGGGCGAGGAGAAATCACTCGACGCGCACTGAGAAGGGCGCTTTAGCGCATTTTCCAAAGAGACGAACCTGGATGTTAACAAGCACCCGACACGGCTCGACTTGAAAGCAGAGCGAGCCTCCGCTCCGAGCTGCCCTCCCCGCTGTACCCGGCCCACCCTCTCGGGGGCCGCGGCCGCCCGCGCCAGCTCACCGCCGTCCTCGCCGTCCAGCGCTCGCAGCAGCTGGGCCGTCTCGCCGTCCAGCAGGGCGGCCAGGCCCCGCAGCTTACAGTGGAAAGTCTGGATAGGGTTCATGCTGGCGGCGGCCGGGCCGACCGCGCACCTCCCGCCGCCCTCTAACCCGCCGCTCCTTCAAACCCGGCGCGGCGAAGGCGGCGCCCGCTCCGCGCAGGCGCAGAAGGCTCCTCTCGCGAGAGCGGAAGTCTCGTCCGGCAGCTCCCGCCAGCCCGTGGGGAGCGTGGCGTCGCCGCGGCCGTCGGTGGACGCGTCTCTCGGAGGTGAGGGCGCCCGCAGTGAGTTCTTGAGGCGGGGGGTGTTCCAGGGAGGCCCGCCGTTCCCCGCAGGGCCGCCGGCCCCCGGCCACCCGCTTCCGGTCGCGCGGGCCGTGGGCGCCTCGTGCACGCCGCCGCTCGCTTTCCGCCTCGGGTGTCGGCGACCGCGGCTTTCCCGTCCTTCCCTCAGGAGGCGCCATGTTCCTCACCGCGGTCCTCCTCCGCGGCCGCCTTTCGGGCAGTCAGTGGATCGGGAAGCACCGGCGGCCGCGCACCGTGTCCTTCCACGCGAAGCAGAACATGATCCGCCGCCTGGAGGTGGAGGCCGAGAACCACTACTGGCTGAGCATGCCCTACCTGACGGCGGAGCAGGAGTACGGCCACGCCGCGGAGCGCAGGGCCCGGGATTTTGAGGCCATCAAGGCGGCCGCCACTTCCAAGTTCCCCAAGCACAGATACGTGGCAGACCAGCTAGACCATCTCAACGTCACGAAGAAATGGTCCTAACCCGGTGCCATCACCCTTCGAGTTTATGGATACCGGACTGCTCTGTCCTTATTTGGTGCTGGAGCTGAAAAAAAATGTAATTTATGTAACAGTGTGACCCCCCCTTCGACCAGTGTCTTATTAAAACAAGCATGATTAATAGTTGTTTCATAGGAATATTTGGGACTCTACCTAGGCATTTGGCTCACGCCTGCAATCCCAACACTGCAGAGGTAGAGGCAGGAAAATCTTTGCCGGTGTACCTAGTAAAACCCAGACCTCAGGAAGCCAAAAGAAAGACTATTTGGGGCTCTAACCTTTTTGCTGCCTCCGCATAATTGCTGATCTATCATCAGTTTTTGTTTTGTTTTGTTTTGCTGACAAGCCCTGCTTGTCTCCAAGTGCTGGAATTATGGTTCCCTGCCTTTCTGAAAATAGGATTTCGTTTGTCTCCTATGTAGCCTTGGTACTTGCTATGTACCTGGACTGGCCTTCACTCAGAGGTCTACTGGCTTCTGCTTCCCACGTGCTAGAATTAAAGGCTAGGGCCACCGTACCTTGTGCTTTTTGTGTTTTTGAGACAGGGTTTCTCTGTTTAATAGAGTCCCGCCCCCTTGTTTTCTTTTTTAAATGCTATTGTAAAACTACAAACTGATTAGTCTTTAAGTCTGAGGTACTGGGCTAGAGCTTTGTTGTATAACAGGAATTTTCTTACTTTCTGTCTTGGACAGCTGTTCTCAACCTATGGGTCATGACCCCTGGGGGTCACAGGAGTAGGGTATCACTGCTGCATATCAGATATTGATGTTATGATCCCTAATCCTAGCTAAATTGCAGCATGAAGTAGCAGTAGAAGCAGCTCTATGGCCTGTGGGGTCACCACAACACAAGGAACTGTAATAAGGGTGGGAGATTAGGAAGGTTAAGAACCACTGCTCTAGAATGTTTATACCCTGCCTGTGATCGCTTAGGCTGAACTGGGCTGAACTGAGCCTTCTGACTTGGCCTCTTGAGTAGATGCATAGTGACTTGTGGATTATCTAGTTATTTATCTATTTATTATTTATTAAAGACAGGACCTCAACTGTGTGGTCCTGGCTGGCCTGGAACTTAGTATGTGTACCAGACTGGCCTCAAGCTTAGATATGGACCTATCTCTGTCTTCTGAGTGCTAGGAGCAAAGCTGTATGCTATACCTACTCCTCCTTACCTTGAATTGGAGATTTCATAGAAAATTAGCAAAAAAAGAAAAAAAAAAAAAAAAAAACAAACTAATTTTAATTTATCCCACTACCCCGTTTAATCAGTGATTTTTTTTTTTTTTTTTTTTTTTTTGGCTTTTCCAGAGAAGGTTTCTCTGGTTAGCCTTGGCTGTCCTGGACTCACTTTGTAGATCAGGCTGGCCTAGAACTTACAGCATCTACCTGCCTCTGCCAAAGTACTGTGATAACACTGTACCCGGTAACACTTTTTCTTCACCATACCAAAACCTAGAAATGAGCATTGATATGATCTGTATAACATATCCAGATTTCCTTATTTTATATGCACCCATGTTTATTTGTGTGCACTGCTCTATGCAATTGTGTAACCATGGTACATGGTCCTTCATGTTTGTGACAGCCTGACTCTTCCCCACCGTTTTTGTTATTTTAAGAAGTATCTAAAATATATTTTTAGGATTGATTTATTCTGTATACATGATCTGTCTGCATGTAGGCCAGAAGAGGGCACTCTTGTTATGAGCCACAATATGGTTGCTGGGAATTAAACTCAGGACCTCTGAAGAGTAGCCAGCGCTCTTAACCTCAGCCATCTCGTTAACCCTATATATATATATATAATATGAAATGTAGTTTATTTCCCTTGTTGCCCATTTAGGTGTTTACATGTATTGATAACTTGAACTTGCTTTTCTCTTTGTGTAGCCCAGGCTGGTCTTGAACTCAGTAATCCTCCTGCCTCCCCCTCCCCCCATAATGCTGGGATTATAAGCATATGCCCCATTCCTAGCAAACTTTGTTTAGTCAGCAGTGTATCATTGGCCTCTCTGTGCATCTGTATAGATCTACCTTGTACTTCTAATAACATGCATGATAATAGAGATGTGCCCATTATTCTATGAATTAGACGTTTAACCCCTTTTCTCCAGCAAACCTTGTAGTCAATCATGTCAGTTTACATGTATTCTTTTGTTTGTTTTTTTCAAGACAGGGTTTCTCTGTGTAGCCTTGGCTGTCCTGGAACTCACTCTGTAGACCACTCTGTCCCCCTACTCTGTCATTTGATCTTTAGTTCTTTGTAACTAAAGATGCAGGAAAATTTGTGAAACAAACAGTGAAAATATGAACGGTCCCTTCACCACTCTGCGTACTATTTTCCTTTCCCCAACAGTATGGTATTTCCTTGGGCATAAGTCAACTACTTTTTTTCTTCTGAACCTATTCATTCAGTGGACAAAACACAATTAGCCAAGTACTTTATTAAATGAAACTAATACACCTAGTGTACACACACATACACACACACCATCACATCTGCTCTTAACACATGGTTAACATTACCAAAACTAAGTATTTAAACAAAGGGCCTAGAGTTAATCACAGCAACAGTTTTTTGAGACAGGGTTTCTCTGTGTAGCCTTAGCAATCTACAGAATTCACTCTGTAGACCAGGCTGGCCTTGAACTCACAGAGATCCTCTTGCCTCTGCCTCCCGAGTGCTGGGATAAAGGCATGCACCATTGCTGCCTGGCTTTTTTTTTTTTTTTTCTTAAATTGTTTCCGTTTTTATTCTCTCATACATATCCTGAATGCAATTTCCTCTCCCTCCAGTCTCTTCCCCAGCCCCACCCTCTTCACCTCCTTTCAGAAGAGTGGGCTTTCCAGGGCCATCAATCAAATACAGCATAACAAGCTGCAGTAAGTGAAGCAACGGGCTGGAGAGATAGCTCAGAGGTTAAGAGCATTGTCTGCTCTTCTAGAGGTCCTGAGTTCAATTCCCAGCAACCACATGGTAGCTAATAACCATCTATAATGAGATTTGGTGCTCTCTTCTGGTGTGTGGGTGCACATTCAGACAGAACACTATACATAATCTTAAAAAGTGAATCAACAGTTCTAATACACAGATTCTAGAAGGGATCATTCCACTCACTACCTTCCATCGTCCTCTCCAACCTCTGAAATAAAACTCTGGCATCAGTGAGTCTAAGCAGTGACACAAGGATCGCATTCATAAACTTTTCCATTTGGATTATAAACTTTTGATAGTACCAGTGATTGAGTTGAGGGTGTCACCCATTATGCAGGGGCTCTAACAACTGAGTTCCACACCCTTCCTGAAAAGTAGGGGATTTTGCTGTCTGTGGTGGTAGATAGCTTTAATCTCAGCACAAGAGACACACGGTGAGGTCTTCTCAACAACAGCAACAAGAACAGGTGGAAGCTTGGCCCTCAGGATTTACACAAGGGCCTGTGGGGTATTCAGCAAAGACCACTCAGACACAGGGTCAAACCAACAGAAACTTTATTAGCCAGCTGGTGACTACAATGGGTATTTGTCATCCAGTGTGCAGTACTGAGCCATTTTCAGGGTGAGCTTTTAAGTACAATAAAACCACAGCTGGCTTAACATACTTGAGTTAACAAGAGTTAGCCAGGAGCAGAACTACAGAAGCAAAAAAGCAAGGTTACTACATATAGAGGCTTTCCCAGAACTATGGACTTGGAGGTGTGAGGTCTCTTCATTTTCTACTTGGCAGCTCTTGCCTATGTGCTGGGTTGCAAGGCCATCTGCACAAGGTCTGTTGTGCTAAGGTCTGGGGGGTCCTGTTAGAGCTTCATCATGCAGCCTAGGCTGACTTTCCCTCAGCGGTGGGATTATGGGAAGTTTTTCAAATGGTACTTCCAGCACAGATTCAGCATCTCCACACTCGGAAGGGCTGTAAGATACAGGCACCACATTGGTTTAAAAAGGTTGAAGCCAGGCAGTGGTGGAGTGTGCCTTTAATTCTGGCACTCAGGAGGCAGAGGCAAGCAGATCTTGGCTGAGGACAGCCTGGCCTACAGAGTGAGTTTCAGGACAGCCAGGGCTAAACAAAAAAGCCCTCTCAGACAAACAAGAAAAGGTTGAAGGATGGATTGTGGGTCCTGCTCAGAGGTGGTGTTTGCTTGCTTACGATGTGCAAAAGGCCCAGGTTCTAGGGCCTAGAATAGAAAAAAAAAAAAAAAAAGCAAAACCCAAAAAGTTTGAGGAAAAGCTTCTAGAAGCTACTTTACTTTATGTCCAGGCTCACTGAGAGTTAATAAATCTTCCAGTGTTCAAAAGAAGTTAAGTCGTAAGCCAACATTTTTACTTATTCCTGAGACAGTCTCATTGCATGGCTCAGAACGAATTTGAACAACCTTTCATCAATCTCTCAAGTGCTGGGATTTTAACTGTGAGCTGCCACACCCGCCTTCCAGCCACCATGTCTTACTCTGTGCCAGTAACCTCAGAGAGCCCACTATAGTCTTGAGTTCCCTCACTGGCTACCCAGCATTTTGCTGTCTCAGCCCTTCATTTGCCAGGGAACCCTGGCCCTTATAGGTGCCCACATCCATACCCAGCACCTAGAAGAGAGCTGTTTGGGCTGTTCCCACCGCTCACCCATCCTTGTGCAGCTGCTCAGGAAGTAGCTGGCAAAGGAACCTATATACTGCCTCCATATAAAGTTTTCTGAAATTTTTTATTTTCACCTCATCTTTAAGGTCCTTCCCATGGATGTACTTTTTCATATTGTAGTCCTGTCCTGGAACTCACCATGTAGAATAAGCTGGCCTCAAACTCATAAGAGATTCTCCTGTATCTACCGCCCTCCTGAGTGCTGGAATTAAAGGCCTGCCTGCCATGCTCAGGGATACTCCAATTTTTGACTAGTTACAGGAAAACTTTAAATGGCTTCATGGTGTCTCTGTAAATGCAATGTAGTAGACACAGGTCTCCCTCACTTCTTTGTTAAAAGCTCTCCAAACAACTAGCTTTCTCTGCTCATTCCTCAGAGGCTGCATCTCAGGCCTTCATTTAATCAGTGCTTCTTCATATGTCATCATGTACTCAGAATGTTTTCCTTTGGTTACTAGCATGACAACATAGTATTTTTTAATAGTTTTTAATTTTTT